TATTTATCTCAATGTCTTGTATAACTTTTTCAAAATTTCCATTTTTTAAAACCAGAAATTAGGTCTTTTCGAGATGTTTCAAAATTCTCAATATCTTTATTATGGTTATGTTTCAAAATCTTCATTTTTTTAAGATTTTTATTTTAGCGATTTTAAAGCTTAAGACTTAAAATTTTACGGTTGTCGTTTACAAGATTTAAAAACGTCTTGATATTCGTGTTTGTTCAAAATTACATTTTTTTGTCTTTTTTTTTAAATTTAGAAAAAAAATTAAGTTAAACACATATTTTTTATTTTGTTGTTCTTGAATCTTTTCTCAAGATTTTTACTATAAAACTGAACTTTTCAGTATATTATTTTACGAGATTTTAGCCGAAGTCCAAGTCTCCTAACCCCAAATAAAAACTTCACAAGCAATCTGCGTTTTATTTCCCAATAAATTTGAAAAGATCCCCACTGAGGAGTGCCTCCACTTGCGCAGTTTTATTGATTATTGTGCTCGTGCTCCAGGCAAATGCAGACTCTCAAAGATCTCCCGTCCATTTCCTCCAAAATAAACACAACAAAATGTGTTAAATAATGTGGTGGTGGCTTTTGGGCTTGTTTTTATCGGTTTTAGTGGGTTTTAGTCACACAAATCCCGACGCAAAACGCCTCTACGATGACCTCTTGAGCAATTATAACCGATTAATAAGACCAGTTAGTAATAACACTGATACGGTCCTGGTCAAATTGGGATTAAGACTATCACAACTCATTGAATTGGTGAGAGTGTTCTTAAAATTACGATTTTGTTTTCAACAGCATTTTCAGAACCTGAAAGACCAAATCCTGACCACAAACGTGTGGCTCGAGCACGTAACTTGCTTCAAAATTTCAGTTTTCAGGTTTTTTCAACTGATTTTTTCAGGAATGGCAAGACCATAAGTTTGTCTGGGACCCTGACGAGTATGGAGGTGTCACAGAACTGTATGTTCCATCGGAACATATCTGGTTGCCAGATATTGTTCTCTACAACAAGTATTTGGGTTAACCTAATGGGATTTTTTTATTTTTTTGTGGTTTTTTTAGCGCTGATGGGGAATATGTGGTCACTACAATGACCAAAGCTGTGTTGAGACACACAGGGAAGGTTTTATGGACACCACCGGCGATTTTTAAGTCCTCGTGTGAGATTGATGTGCGGTATTTCCCCTTTGACCAACAGACGTGTTTTATGAAGTTTGGGTCGTGGACCTACGATGGGAATCAGGTTAGAGGCCTTTTTTCAAATCTTGATTTTTTGTTCTCAATAATTAGCTGAAAATCTTGAAACACTAAACAATTCTTTAAACTTTACATCCTGCACTAAGTTTTGTTTCAAGATTTTTTCTTGAGTTTTCTTAAATCTTGTTATTACGTTTAGATCAATCAGCTGAAAATTTTATCACAAATCTTTGAAACATCTCAAAATTCCAACATTGTTTTGTAGAATCTTTACATTTTTGCAAGATCAGTAATTTTTGTTTTAGTTTTAAGATTATTAAAAATGACATAATTTTCTTGTCATTGCAAACCTTGGTTTTCCACGTCTTCAAAAATTTGCTGAAAATCTTGATTCAATCTTTACATTTTGAAATGAAAATCCTTAGAAAAACTTTAGATTGAAACACTGTTTTGCATTCTGTACTAATTTTTGTTTCAGTTTTTTATTCTTTCGCGCTTTTTTACATTCTTGAAACTCTACTATTTTTTTTGTTTCAAGATGTGTTCCTTAAACTTTGTTTTTTTGGATTCTTCTAAAATCTTGTTATTACGTTCACAACATCTTTTAAAAAATTCCGAAATTCTAAAATCTTCACATTCTTGCAACATCAATAGTTTTTGTTTTAGTTTCAAGATCATTTAAAGTGGCATTCCCTCAAGTCTTTCTTTGTTACACTGCGAGCCTTTCTAAGATTTTATTGGTTTTTAACGCTCGCAAAAATTTGCTGAAAATCTTGAAACAGTCTTTTAAATCTTGAATGATACGATTTTTTAGCTATTGTTGTGCAAAAATTCGATTAAAAAAACAGAAAATCACTTAAAATCTTAAGAAGGCAAAAATAAAGACTCAAAGATTTCTTATTATTTCTGAAAAACGTTAAGAGAGCAAAATAACAAAGTTCTACACATATTACAACTTTCTGTATTAAGATCTCTAGTTAAATTTATTTATTTATGTGACTTTTTGTCTCAAGATCTTTCGATCTAAAATTTTTTAAAAGCAAGTTTGAGAGATATATCTTGAAACAGTAAAAAAAAACAATTTCTTTTTGTTTCAAAACCTTGAACGTTTATTCAAAACCTTTAGATCTTTAGATTTGACCTTTAGTCAAGGCTTTTATATTTTTAGATTTAACTCAAAATTAGTATCTTGAAACAGTAAAATTTCATTTTTTGATCGACACATATTTGAAAATCTTCAAAAGAGAGATAATCTTGAAATTGTAAAAAAACAAATTTCTTTTTGTTTCAAGATTTTAAGCGCCTAGTCAGGGACTTAAGATTTTCAGATTTAAGTTAAAATTTTAATCTTGAACCAGTAAAACGCCATTTTTCAGATTGAAACGTATTTCAAAATTCACAAAGCAAGTTTGTGAGATAATCTGGAAATAGTAAAAAAGAGGAATTTTTTTTGTTTCAAAATCTTGAACGTTTATTCAAGCCCTTTAGATCTTTAAATTTAACTCAAAATTTTTATCTTGAAAAAGTAAAATTTCATTTTTTGATAGACACGTATCAAAAGCAAGCAAACAGTAAAAAAGAGAAAATTTCTTTTTGTTTCAAAATCTTGAACGTTTATTCAAAGCCTTTAGATTTTTAGATTTAACTCAAAATCTTGATCCTGAAACAGTGAAATTCTATTTTTCAGATTGATACGTATTTCAAAATTCTCAAAGTAAGTTTGAGAGATAATCTTGAAACAGTAAAAAAGAGCACATTTATTATATTTCAAAATTTTTAACCTTTATTCAAGGCCTTTAGATCTTTCGAATTAATTCAAAATTTTGATCTTGAAAGAGTATAATTTTATTTTTCGATAGACACGTATTTTAAAATCTTCAAACGGAGGTTTGAGAAATAATCTTGTAACAGTTAAAAAGAGCAAATTTCTTTTTGTTTCAAAATCTTGAACGTTTAGTCAAGACCTTTAGATCTCTATCTTAACTCAAAATTTTGATCTTAAAATAATAAAATTTCATTTTTTTAATGACACGTATTTCAAAATCTTGAAAAATGATTTTGAGAGACAGAGAGATAATCTTGAAATTGTGAAAAAGAACAATTTTTTTGTTTCAAGATTTTAAGCGTCTAGTCAGGGACTTTAGATGTTTAGATTTAACTCAAAATCTTGATCCTGAAACAGTGAAATACCATTTTTCAGACTAATACGTATTTCAAAATTCTCAAAGCAAGTTTGAGAGAGTTGAGTTCTTGAAACAGTAAAAAAGAGCAAATTTTTTCTTGTTTCAAGGTCTTTAACGTTTATTCAAGGCCTTTAGATCATTTGATTTAATTGAAAAATTTGATCTTAAAAGAGTAAAATTTTATTTTTCGATAGACACGTATTTCAAAATCTTCAAAAGCAAGTTTAAGAAATAATCTTGACACAGTTAAAAAGAGCAAATTTTTATTTGTTTCAAGATTTTGAACGTATATTCAAGGCCTTTACTTCTTTAAACTTAACTCAAAATCTTGATTTTAAAACACACATACTTCAAAATTCTCAAAAGCAAGAGATAATCTTGAAACAGTCAAAAAGAGCAAATTTCTTTTTGTTTTAAGATCTTGACTTGAATGTGCTTTTATGTCTTTAAATTTAACTCAAAATCTTGAAAAAAAACTGTGAAAGAGAACTTTCTATTCGTTTCAAGATCTTAAACGTCTAGTCAGAGACTTTAGATCTTTAGATTTAACTAAAAATCTTGATCTTGAAACAGTGAAATACTATTTTTCAGATAACACGTATTTCAAAATCTTTAAAAGCAAGTTTGAGAGATAATCTTGAAACAGAAAGAGCAAATCTTTATTTGTTTCAAGATTTTGAACGTATATTCAAGACTTTTACGTCTTAACTTAAAATCTTGATCTTGGAACAGTAAAATTACATTTTTTTGTCGACACGTACTTTAAAATTTTTAAAAGCAAGTTTAAGAGATAATCTTGAAACAGTGAAACCAGCAAATTTTACATTTTTTTGTCGACACGTACTTTAAGATTCTCAAAAGCAAGTTTAAGAAATAATCTTGAAACAGTGAAAACAGCAAATTTCTTTTTGTTTTAAGAGCTTGAATGTCAATTCAAGGCTTTTATATCTTTAGATTTAACTCAAAATCTTGATCCTGAAACGATGAAAGCCAGAGATTTTAGATTTAACTGAAAATTTTGGTCTTAAAACAGCAAAATTCCGTTTTTTAGATCGACCTCAAACACATCAACCAAAAAGTGGGCGAAGACAAGGTCGAGGTGGGCATCGACTTGCGCGAGTACTACCCCAGCGTCGAATGGGACATTCTGGGAGTCCCCGCTGAACGTCACGAGAAATACTACCCTTGTTGTGCTGAGCCATACCCAGGTTTCCACCCTCTCCAACTCAACCCCAACTAACTCATTTTTGCAGATATCTTCTTCAACATAACACTCCGTCGAAAAACACTCTTCTACACCGTCAATCTCATCGTCCCTTGTGTAGGAATCTCCTATTTATCCGTTTTGGTGTTTTATTTACCCGCCGATTCTGGCGAAAAAATCGCCCTTTGTATCAACATCCTCCTCTCCCAAACCATGTTTTTCCTCCTCATCTCCGAAATCATCCCTTCGACGTCCCTCGCACTCCCACTCCTGGGCAAATACATCTTGTTTACCATGGTCCTGGTCGCGTTATCGGTCGTCATCACCATCATCATCCTCAATGTCCATTACCGCAAACCCAGCACCCATAAAATGGCCCCATGGGTGCGCAGTTTTTTCATCAAGAGTGTCCCGAAATTGCTGTTAATGCGCGTCCCCAAAGACCTCCTAACTGAATTAGCCGCCAATAAAATCTCCACTTGTCGAATGGTTATGAAAAAAAGAGAATTGGAGTCAATGCCTTCGGGTGGTTCCTCGTCGACGAGCTCGTCGAGCTCGTCCAGGAACCGCGCAAGTGGTTGCAATGGTTTGCATTCGAGTTCGACCACCAACCGACTCCGGGGGTTCACCGGAGCGTTGGGGAGTCGGTTAGGTTATAACGGGTTGCCGTCGGTGTTTTCCGGGCTGGATGAGAGCGACTCCGGGACGAGGAAAAAGTATCCGTTTGAGTTGGAAAAGGCGATACATAATGTCATGTTTATTCAACATCATATCCAGAGACAGGACCAGTTTAATGCGGTAAGATTACGGACTCTTGAAACACAAAATCAGGTTTTGCTTTTCTTGAAAATCTTGAAACAAGAGCGAAGAAGCCAAATTGCATTGACTGGTTTTTAGATAAAGATTCTGATCAAAATCTAAATCTCAACTATTCGATTTTTTTGGATGGTTTCATAAATATTTTGAGGAACGACTTAGAAATCTTGAAACACAAACTCAAGATTTTTTAAATTTTTCGCATGATTTTTAGTACTATATTAATATTTTTGCATTTCTAAATATCTTGAAAGCTTCTTAGAGTTTTGCTTTCTTACAAGATCTAAGTTTATAATAATCTTCAACAAAAAGTCAAAATATACTACTATCTACTATGAAGATCTTGAAAAACGACTTTAAAATCTTGAAACACAAAATCAAAATTTTTAACATTTTTCGCTTTTCTTTCATTTCAAAATCTTTCATTTTTCAAGGACCTTGATATTTTTGCTTTATCTGAAAATCTAAGTTCGATAACACACAATTAAGATTTTCTAAACTTTTCCAGAATCTTGGGCACTATATCAATATTTTTATTTTTTCTGAAACTAAGATTTTTTGGGACTTAGTTTACTGCAAGATTTAAGTTTAATATCTTGAAACTATAGCAAAAATGTCAAAATGACTATGTTTGTACTTACATCTCAACTACGCGATTTTATGAGTGTTTCAAGATATGACAATTATTATAAAGATTCTGAGAATCGGCTTCAAAATGTTTAAACAGAAAATAGAGATTTTCTATTAATTTTCGCAATACCTTTGACACGATATCAATATTTCTCCATTTTCTGAAAATTTTAAGCTTCTTAGAGTCTTGGTTTAATGCAAGATCTAAGTTTGTGAATCTTGAAACAAAAGCAAAATGTCAAAATATACTGCTCTGTACTATGAAGATCTTGAAAAACTGCCTCAAAATCTTGAAACACCAAATCAAAAATTTCTAAATATTTTGCAAGATCCTTAACATGTACATATATCAATATTTTTGTTCTCTAACTCTAAGTTTAATAATCTTGAAACGATGTTTTGTCTATTGATTTTTGATTTCAAGATTATGATGAAGATAAGATTTAGATCTAAACATCTAGATTTTTTGTGTGTTTGAAGATCTATATCTTAGTTACTATGAGATCTTGACAAAGGGTTTAAAAATCTTGAAACACAAAATCAAGATTTTCTTAACATTTTCCAAAATCTTTGGCACTATATTTGTTTTTTCTGAAATTCCTAAGATTCTTAGAGTCTTAGTTAAGTGCAAGATTTATAAGTTTAATAATCTTGAAACTATATCAAAAAAGTCAAAATGACCATGTTTGTACTTATTGGTTTTTATTTCAAGGTTATGATCAAGATCTATATCTCAACTACTCAATTTTATGAGTGTTTCAAGATATGACAAATATTATAAAGATCTTCAGAATTGGCTTCAAAATGTTTAAACGTTTCTATGAATTCTTGTAATACTTTTAGAACGATATCAATATTTTTGCTTTTTCTGAAGATTTTAAGCTTTATAGAGTCTTGGTACATTGCATTACATTAAGTTTGTTAATCCGTGAAACAATAGCAAAATAATTAAAATATCTTTCTACGTATTTACTGGTTTTTATTTCAAGATTCTGATCAAGATCTAAATTTTAACATCTACATTTTTTGGTGTTTCAAGCTAGGGCAGTTATTTATTATAAAGATTTTAAAAATCGGCTTCAAAATCTTGAAACACAAAATAAAGTTTTTTAAACTTTTTGCAAGATCTTTAGTATTATATCAAAATTTGTGCTTTTTCTGAAAATTTCAAACTCAAAATAGTCTTAATTTATTGCAAGATTTAAGTATAACAATCTTGAAACAAGAGCAAAAAGTCAAAATATGTATACTATCTACTATGAAGATCTTGAAAAACGGCTTCAAAATCTTGAAACACAAAATCAAATTTTTTTAATTTTTTTAGCAAGATATTTTTGCTTCATCTGAAAATCTAAGTTAATCTTGAAACAATGTCTGTGTTTTATTTACTGGTCTTTCTTCAAGATTATGATAAAGAAAAGATTTAGATCTGAACATCTCTATTTTTGGGTGTTTGAAGATATGGCAGTTACTACGAAGACCTTGCGAAACGATTTTAAAATCTTGAAACACAAAACCAAGATTTTCTAAACTTTTTCCAAAATCTTTAGCACTTGGTATATCAAAATTTTTATTTTTCCTGAAACTCCTGAGGTTCTTAGAGACTTAGTTTACTGCAGGATTTAAGTTTAATAATCTCCAAATCATAGCAAAAAAGTCAAAATATACTGCTATGTACTATGAAGATCTTGAAAACGGCCTCAAAATTAAAAATTTCTAAATTTTTTGCAAGATCCATGTTGTATATAATAAATATTTTTGTTTTGTCTGAAAATCTAAGTTTAATAATCTTGAAACAATGTTTTGTTTATTGGTCTTTTATTTCAAGATTATGATGAAGATAAAATTTAGATTTGAACCTCTCGATTTTTTGGGTGTTTGAAGATCTTGAGAAACGATTTTAAAATCTTGAAACACAAAATTTTGTGTTTGTACTTATTGGTTTTTATTTCAAGATTATGATCAAGATCTACATCTCAGCTAATCGATTTTTTAAGTGTTTCAAGATATGACAGTTATTATAAAGGTTCTGAGAATCAGCTTCAAAATGTTTAAACGCAAAATAGACATTTTCTATAAATTTTTGCAATACCTTTGGTGCGATATCAATATTTTTGCTTTTCTAAAGATTTTAAGCTTCTTAGAATCCTGGTTTATTGCAAGATCTAATTTTGTGAATCTTGAAACAAGAGCAAAATAGTTAAAATATCTTTATTTGTATTTACTGGTTTTTATTTCAATTTTGTGAATCTTGAAACAAGAGCAAAATAGTTAAAATATCTTTATTTGTATTTACTGGTTTTTATTTCAAGATTATGATCAAGATCTAGATCTTAAGATCTCTCTCGGTTTTTTGGTGTTTTAAGCTATCACAGTTAATCGGCTTCAAATCTTGAAACACAAAATTATAATTTTCTAAACTTTTTGCAAGATTTTTAACACTATATCAAAATTTGTGCTTTTACTGGAAATTTTAAACTTCTTAGAGTCTTGGTTTATTGCAAGATTTAAGTATAATAATATCTTCATTTTTTGAGTTTATTACGAAGATCTTGAGGAACGGTTTCAAAATTTTGAAGCACTAAATCAAGATTTTGTAAAATTTTTAGCAATATTTTAAGATTTCTTGAAAATCCTTATCTTCTTAGAGTATTGGTTTATTACAAGATCTAAGTATAAGATCTATCTATGTATCAAGACCTAAGTATCTTGATACAAGAGCAAAAAAGTCAAAATGTTTATGTTTGTGTTTCCTGTTTTTTAAGATTAAGATCTGGATCACAACGTTCCGTTTTTGGGTGTTTCAAGATGTGACAGTTTACTATGAAGTTCTTGAGCAATGGCTTTAAAATCTTGAAAAAAAATCAAGATATTTCAAAATTTTACGTAAGATCCTTAGAATCCTTAGTAGTCTTAACCTTTTTGCTCTTCTGACACTCTTTAAAGTCGCGGTTTGTTTGAAGATTTAGGTGTAACACTCTTCAAAGAAAAGTATTGATAAAACAGTTAAAAATATAATTGAAATAATTATTTTGTGTTTCAAGATTATGATCTTTAATTTTCTAAACAAACTTGACAAAATTGCCTGTATCTGAAGATCCTCTTTTATAATAGAAAATTGATTCTTATTTTTCAATCTTTGGTTGATTTGAAAAATTATCACGATTATTAAGATTCAAGATCTTATTGAAACATTCTAAAGAAATAAGATCTTGAGAAGAAAATGAAAGGATGTGTTTATGTTTAAAGGTATGGAATAGTTTCACTATTTTCAAAGAAATCTTTCATCATGAATCAGAATCTTGAAACATGAAAGGAGAGTTAAGAGAAGAAACAAGATTCTGAGAAAGCAATAAAAGAATATGTTTACGTTTAAAAATACGAGTTAATTGTAGAAAGAGTTTCAGAATTCTTTCTCTTGATTCAAGATCTTGAAACATTGTAAAAATAATCATGAGAGGAGAAATACGATCTTGAAAGCATGTGTTTGAATGATTGTAGGAAGATCAAGATTGGGGCTTCGTGGCCATGGTCCTGGACCGTCTCTTCCTCTGGATCTTCATCATCGCCTCAATCGCGGGCACTTTCGCAATTCTATGTGAAGCCCCCGCGTTGTACGACGACACGAAACCCATCGACATGGAACTATCGTCAGTAGCCCAACAACAATTTCTACCTGAATTAGACTTCTAACGCAATAAGTTCGAATCACACACGTCAATATACTACATTGTATCGTTAGTTGTATTAAAATATAATAATAAGAGGAAATTACACCTGAAATTGTGACTAAGCGTTTTTCGTGTCATTGAAGCGAATAAATTTAACCGACCGTTACGACCATGAATTTGCAACCCCTTCGAGCCTCCTCCCAAGGGAAAACTAGCACAAAATCGACACTTTGCATCATCATTTCGACTCGATTAATAAATCGGAACATCATTTTTTTCCTTTTCCACTTCGCTTATTATTGCATTTCGACTAACGAGATGAGTTTTTGATGCGTTTTACGCACTGTCATGCTTCATTATTATTCGGACAAATTATTCGCTAAAATTGAGCTCTTTGCAACGTCATTCCTGCATAATTAGAGGAAAAAAGGGGAGATTCCGATTGAAATTGAAGGGTTAAACTTCGGTATAGCCAAAAATTAATATTAATGACTTGCCTTTGATGCAAAAATGACAAGTTTGAACCCCTTGAAAAAATCGTTATTACGGTGCAAAAAACTCTTCACAATTTTAGTTCAAAAAAAAAATTAAGCCATTTTTGACACTCACGCAATTTATCAAAATTTTTGCTCTTCTTGAAAATCTTACAACTTCTTAGTCTCAGTTTATTGCAAAGATCGGAGTTAATAATTTTGAAATAAGGCAAAAAGACCAAAATTTCAAAATTGTCATTTCAACATTTTTTTTTGAGTGTTTCAAGATATGACAATTACTACGAAAATCTTGACAAATGACTTTAAAATCTTGACACACTAAATCAAGATTTTCTAAACTTTTCGCAAGATATATCTTTAGCACTATATCAATATTTTTGCTTTTTTTTCAAGATCTTAAGCTTCTTATAGTCTTAATTATTGCAAGATCTAATAAGTTTCTAATAATCTTGGAACAAGTCAAAATCTTTGTGTTTAGTGGTTTTTATTTCAAGATTATGATCAAGATCTAGATCTCAACATCTCGATTTTTTTGGTATTTTAGAATATGGTGGTTACTAGAAGGATCCTGAGAGACAGCTTCAAAATCTTAAAACACTAAATCAAGACTTTTCAAGATCTAGATCTAGATCCCAACGTCTCATTTTTGTATGTTTCAAAATACGACTCAAGATCTTGAAAAACAACTTTGAAATCTTAAAACACAAAGTCAAGATTTTTTCTAATTATTTGGCAAAATCTTGAAACATTCCAAAGATAATCGTGAGATAAGCAAGTTACCGAAGGAAAAAAAAGATCTTGAGTATTCAATAAAAGTTTAAAGATATGAAATAATTGTACGAAGAGTTTTAGAATTCTTAAAGAAATCTTTTTTCATAATTTGGAAAATTATCACAATTATCACAATGATCAAGATTCAGGATTTGAAACATTGTAAAGATTATTACGAAAGGAGAGTTAAGAGAGATATTAAAATCTTGAAAAAACAATAAAAAAATGTATTATGTTTAAAAGTATGAAATAATCATAAGGACTTTCAATGTTTTTAAAGAAATTTTCTTCTCGTAACTTGGAAAATTATCATAATGATCAATATTCAAGATTCTTCAAAACATTATAGACAATCATTTTTTGAAAACCTTAAACTTTTTTGATAATAATCTTGAAACAAATCAAAATCTTTGTGTTTAGTGGTTTTTATTTCAAGATTATGATCAAGATCTAGATCTCAACATCTCGATTTTTTTGGTGTTTTAGAATATGATAGTTACTAGAAGGACCTTGAGAGACAGCTTCAAAATCTTAAAACACTAAATCAAGACTTTTCAAACTTTTCAAGATCTAGATCTAGATCCCAACGTCTCATTTTTGTATGTTTCAAAATATGACTCAAGATCTTGAAAAACAACTTTGAAATCTTAAAACACAAAATCAAGATTTTCTCTAATTATTTCGCAAAATCTTAAAACATTCAAAAGATAATCGTGAGATAAGCAAGTTACCGAAGGAAAAAAAAAGATCTTGAGTATTCAATAAAGGAATGTGTGTTTAAGTTTAAAGATATGAAATAATTGTAGAAAGAGTTTTAGAATTCTTAAAGAAATCTTTTTTCATGATTTAGAAAATTATCACAATGATCAAGATTCAGGATTTGAAACATTGTAAAGATTATTACGAAAGGAGAGTTAACAGAGATATTAAAATCTTGAAAAAACAATAAAAAAATTTTATTATGTTTAAAAGTATGAAATAATCATAGACTTTCAATGTTAAAAAAAAAAAAATTTCTCGAAATTTGGAAAATTATCACAATGATCAAGATACAAGATTCTTCAAAACATTATAGACAATCATTTTTTGAAAACCTTAAACTTTTTTGAATTTGTGTTAATTGTAAGATATAATAAGTTTATAATAATCTTGAAACAAGAACAAAAAAGTCAAAATGTTTGTGGTTTTTACTTTAAGATTCAAATCAAGATCTAAACATCTGTTTTTAGGTGTTTCAAGATATGACAATTACTATAAAGATTCAAAAATAAGATTAGAAATCTTGAAAAACAAAATCCTAAAACTCTAAACTTTTCAAGATTAAAATCTCCCAACAACTCGATTTTTGGGTGTTTCAAGGTATGATCCAAGATCTTGAGTTGAGAATCAAGATTTTGCATGATCATTAAAACTCTTAATCTTAAACTTCTTAGAATCTTGGTTTATTGCAAGATCGAAGTTTATAATAATCTTGAAACAAAAGCAAAAAAGTCAGAATGCCTATTTGTGTATACTAGTTTTTATTTCAAAGTTATGATCAAGATTTCTACATCTATATTGAAAAAAAAATCGTTATAAGATGGCAAAAAAATTAGAAAAAAAACAAAAAACAAAAAAACCCAAAAAACTTCAACTTTTATTTAAGAAAAACGTATAAATGAAGCAATTTTTGCCACTCACGTAATCAAGACTTTCCATGGTTTTCGCAAGATTTTTTTCATTTTATCAAAATTTTTGCTTTGTTGCATAAATCGTAGTTAACAGTAATCTTAAAACAAGGACAAAAAAGCCCAAATTTCAAGATTATGATTTCAACATCCAAATTTTTTAGGTGTTTCAAATATGACAGTTACTATGAGAATCTTGAGAAACGGGTTCAAAATCTTGAAACACTAAATCAAGACTTTCCAAACTTTTCAAGATTATATAATCTGGATCCCAACGTTTCGTTTCAAAATATGACTCAAGATCTTGAGAAACAACTTCGAAATCTTAAAAAAACACAAAATCAAAATTTTCTCTAATTTTTTCGCAAAATCTTGAAACATTCCAAAGATAATCGTGAGATAAGCAAGTTACCTAAGAGAAGAAAAAAATCTTGAGTATTCAATAAAAGAATGTGTTTAAGTTTAAAGATATGAAATAATTTTAGGAAGAGTTTTTGAATTCTTGAAAAAATCTTTTCTCATTCTTGAAAAACAAAATCTTTTCAAGGTTAAGATCTCGATTTTTGGGTGTTTTAAAGTATGACCCAAGATCTTGAGTTGAGAATCAAGATTTTCAAAACATTTTGCATAATCTTTAGCACTTAATCTTAAACTTCATAGAGTCTTGGTTTATTGCAGGATCTAAGTTTATAACAAGAGCAAAGAAATCAAAATGCTCATTTGTGTATACCAGTTTTTATTTTAAGATTATGATCAAAATCTCAACAACTATATTGAAAAAAAAATCGTTATAAAATTGCAAAAAAATTAGAAAAAAAACGCAAAAAACTTCAACTTTTTATTTAAAAAAAAACGTATAAATTAAGCAATTTTCGCCACCCACGCCTTCAAATGTTCAATATCAACAGCCCCATTTTTGCTACAGGCAAACGTCTCCACAAAATCGACTTTATAGGGGCTATTAGCGAAGGAAAAATCGCAATCAGGGGCCCCCAAACTGGCGATTTTTTTCTCCTTAGGGTCCACTGAGGCCAATTGATGCGTCTTAGTGACACGTAAAGTGTTTAATTCCTTCTCTAGGATAGATTTAACAACATTGCTGCCCTTAGCCAAAGTCTGGTCTTGTTTATTGCACAAAATGAGAATTTGGGGCCCATTTCGAGCCACACACGAATCCACCAAAATGTTGTAGAGAAACTCAGCCGTGTCGCGAACGTCTTGCTGAATTGTGGAAGAGTCAACAACAAAGACAAGCCCCCTTGTCAGTTCTTTGTATTGCTCGAGGAATTTGTCTCTCAGACGCTCATGACCCGGGATATCAACAATTTTCAAGTAATTCTACAATTTTCAAGTTAGTTCATATAAAAAAAAACCCAAAAAACGTACATTATTGACGATAAAAGTACCAATATTTTCCTTAATGGAAGTGTGAGTTTGGATGAATTTCTCGTGGACTAATTGAGAGAAAATTAATGTTTTTCCACTGTCGCACAACCCGGTTAGGAGGACACAATTCCTGGTGGCTTTTCTACGCCGGTAGAGCACAAAAAGGACTAAAAATAAGACGGTTAAGTGACCATATGGGGGGGCTATTAAACTCACTCAAAGTCACAACAATCACTAAAACTGCGATCAGAATTTGTGCAAAATTATTATCTTCGATTTTTACAGGCTGTTTTTCGTCCATTTCGCCCGATTTTAATTAAATATTAGTGAAATTAAAACCACAAAAATGACACTTTGAAATGACAATTGACAAGTCAGCAAACACAGAAGTGTGACACTAACGAAAACGCAATTTTTTCACGAAACACACAAAAAATAATTAAAAAACACACTAAAGTAAACGCATAATAAATAAATAAGTGACAAAAACGTGTCTCCCCTTAATAAAACAATTTATTTCCATTTTGAAGTTATTGGAATTCTGGTAGTTCGGACTTTGAGGTTGGAAACGTCTAATTTTAAGAGTCAATTTTATCGAAAAATAATTAATTTACATTAGTGGACACCCCCACATGATGTTTAAATTTGGTTTTTCGAGCACCATTCCGGAGGAGAGTGCACCAGGTGCCCCAATTTTTGCTCCAGTGTCATTACCATAACCCCACATTTCCACGTTTTAGATTCGCCCAAACAAACCTTAAATTGGCTCAAAAGTCACAAAATTCGCCCCGAAACCGTCTCACTGCCTGACTTGGCCCCAAATTCGCGTCGTTGTGGCCAATTCGACGTTAAATTCATCTCAAATAAGGCTGTTTTAAGTGTTTTGAAAGATGGGGCCCCAAATGCGGAAAAAAGCCACTCAGACTTAATCCCCGCTGTCTACGAAGGTCCCTCTACTTGATGAACAACCCCTGGTTTAATTCCGCTGTTTTAGGGGGGCTAAAAGTCTGGGAATGCACTTTCGACCTAGTGGATTTCCTCGTCAGGGAAAACATTGATTTTGGGGGGAAAAAGGTGCTGGATTTGGGGTGTGGGGCCGGTATTGTCGGGATTCTGGCATGTCTCAAGGGGGCCAAGACAGTTTTTCAAGACTATGTAACGATTTCGTGCGAAAAATGACAATTTATATAAAATTTGTTTCAGAATTTGGAAGTGATAAAAACGCTAACAATTCCCAATATTCACTTAAATGGGCTTGATTGTGATAATTGTGAGTTTTTCTGCGGCGATTGGGGCTCATTTCTCGACTTGCAACTAACTGAGGATAAAAAATACGATTTTATTTTAACTTCTGAGACAATTTATAACACAAATAATTATAAAAAAATATTGAGCATCTTTAAACAGTTATTGGAACCAAGTGGAATGATGTATCCTTGAAATATCGATAAAATTGCAACAATTGTGAGAAAATTCTTAACAAAACTTAGATTTTTGGCCGCGAAATGCCACTACTTTGGTGTGGGGGGCGGAGTCCCCCAATTCGAAGACTTGCTAGACTTGGAAGACGTTTTTGACCACACGACGTGTTACCAAAGCCCTAGTGGCGTAAAACGGGCAATAATAAAAATCACGTTTAAAAACTAAGGGGCTAGTCTTTCATAAACCCACCCATCGGCCCCCTCATGGGTGAAAACCCCATCAGCGGGCACCCCCTTTCTGAACCTGATCCGGTCGTGGATACGGTCAGTCTGCCCCTGCCAGAATTCTATGGTATGGGGGCGCACAATGTAGCCGCCCCATTGTGGGGGCCGTGGGACTCCACCCTCGCCGTACAAACTCTTCAATTCGTGTTCTTTGTGCGCGAGGATGTCTCGACTCTCAATTGGGTGGCTTTGGTTGGAGCAAAGGGCCCCAATTTGGCTCTGGTAGGGCCGGCTTTGGAAATATTCGTCGGCGGCCGAAAAGGGCAGTTTTTCAACGGGGCCCTCGATACGGACCTGGAATTTTCACTTTGATTAATTAATTAAACAATTGAAAATAATTACAGATCGGTTGCAAAACGCCCAATAGAATGTCAAAGCACAATTCGGGTTCTCCTCCTAATGAAATAATTAATTAATTAAGTGTGTTTAATTTTGGTTAATTACCAATTCGCGGCCTTTGCGACTTGTGTAATGGGTGAAAAAGCGGAAGCCTTCTTTACTGTAGCCTTTACATAACACGAATCGTGCTGAAGGAATGCCATTTCTGAAAAAAAATAATTAATTAATTATTTCCTGAAAAAAATTATTAATTACTTGGTTGCGGTTGATAAACACATAGCGTTTGGTTCTATTACGGTTGGGTTATTTCGCACAATACTGAACCATTTTTCGAATAAATGAAATGGTTCCTTGACTTCGATTTCGTCTTCCAGAAATAAATTGGTTCTGTCGTTGTAATTCGTCCTAATTCCTTGAAACTTAATCAGTTTTTTGCGAATTAATTAATTCAATTGGACTTACCACTAATGTCCATCTTGTACGAATTAAAAGGCTGGATTTTTGTGGAGACATGTTTATTTATATTAATTGATAAGTAAAAAGATAAGTGATAAGATTTTGCAAATACATGACTGTCACTAAATGCGAAACAATGATTTAAATAACCTTCACTTCACTCTCCAATTTAAATAGAAACGAATGTGGAAAATGTGAGGCGATTATGTAATATCGACCTTGGGGAGGTAACAGAAGTTCCCAAAATGTTGGTCCCTTTTTATTGAAAAAAACACTCAAAATTAAGGATAAATCGTTTGAGGGCCAAACCTTCGACCTGTGGAAAATACTGAAAAAACAGTCCTTTGACAGTTTTTGACACCTGAAAGTTTTTTCTTATCAAAAATAAAAAAATATACATTTGGTTGCTATAATGTTGAGTGATTGTAGAACACAAAAGATGTGAAAATAACTCAACTTGATTTATTTGAATGTTTTTTAGTTGCTGAGGTATAGAGGGTTTAATTTTTACTCGCCGAATAAATTTAAATTTGGCGCGCTTCAATAAAAATTGGTCGCAAATAATAATTTGTTTTTCAACTGTTATATTGTTTAGTGAGTAAACATTAGCGAAAACAGCCACAGAAATTCTCCTTAAAGTAAAAAAAGAATAAAAAAATATCATTTTTGACTGTGTAGGCAACCAAAAATACAGCTCTTAAATTATTACGTTGGTAAATAGTTGTATTTGTGATTAAGTGTTTTGCAATTTATTTATTTTAAAAAATAACAAACAAAAACAGCACCGAATTTTTTCTTAAAGTAGAAATAAGAATAAAAAATATTATTTTTGAGTATGCAGGCAACCAGAAATACATTTGTTAAATTATTACGTTATAAAGTTGCTAAATTGTTGTGTTTGTGATTAAGTGCTTTGCAATTTATTTATTTAAATGAACAACAAAAAATTGAAAAAAAATTTTTTTAGGTGTTTTTATCAAATTAGTTTTTAGAGCAAACATTCTTATTAGTATAAAAAAACAATGTCATATTTTTAATATGTAGCAGAAAACACATTAATAATTAATTAATTAATTAAACAAATAACACTAATGCAAGGACACGATCTAAAATTCCCCAAACCGATTACAGGAAATAAATTTTTTCAGAGTGATTTGAGACAAAATTTGATGTCTCACAATTCAAAAAAAAATGGAATTATTGACTTTTTGACGTCTTATCGACTAAAATATATTGAAAACGCTTTATGTTTTGTACTGTATCTACGTAAAATGTTCTCGGGAGTCCATTGGTCTCGAGAAAACAACAAAACTCGTAATAGTTTTGAAGTTATAGTCGGATTTGAATTTTTGAAATTTTTAATTTTATCAGAAATTTTCTCAATAACTGTTCACCGTAGAACACTGATCTTTTTTGTATAAGATAGAAAATTAAATTCTCTTTCCAACGGTACCAAATATAAGAGGTTATCTCTAATAAGTCCGGAGTTATTGCCATTAGACCGCTCCGGGTGCCAAAAATCGACCAAATCTTGACAAAAATAAAAAAAAAAATTAACTTTAAAATTGATCTATTTTACGTTTTTTACATTTCTAGAGGTCTTAAGGACTCAAATAAATGCATAAAACGACATTGGGTAAAGTTTCAAAAATTTTGAATTTTTTGAGTTTTTGAAGGTGAGCGGTAGTAAAATCGTAAAAATAGTCAATTTACCTTAAGTCGTAAAAACAGTTGAAATATGGTTTTCTAGACGTAAAATTACTCGCTGAACACGATGCAACTAGTTAGAATACTCTACGATGCATAGTTTTTGAAATATTGAGTAATAAAGTTAAGAATAAGGCTAAAAGTAAAAGCACTATATTCGATTTTGACCAAAAATCAACATTTTTTGATTTTTATGAAAAACTAGTACTATATGTAAAATTAACCGGAGAACACGCCTGTACAAACCCTGTTGACCTAAGACTCATAGTTTTTGAGATATTAATTTTTTTTTGAAAAAACTAAAAATGGCTCTGTACCCGGAACCATAACCCGGAGCGACTTCCGGTTTGCGCCAATAAATAGATAATTTCAAGCTACTTTTAATGTTTTTTAGCTCTTTGCTCTAAATCTTATAGTTTCGTAGAAAAACGCGTTTAAAGTTTCACAATTTTTACAATTTTCACTTTTTGAACGGCGATTACGGCCAAACTATTAGACTTAGAGCAAAGAATTTAATTCCATCGTAATCAGCGTAAGAAAATCTATCAACTGAGGCCAAAGCCAAGTCGATATCTCGCAAAAAAAATTTGAATTTTTAAACGCCGATTACGGCGAAACTAAAGGAGATAGCGCAAAATAATTGGAAAATTCGTAATTAGCGCCTCAAAATCTATGGGATAAGATAGGTTTAAATTGAATCTGAGACATGTTTAAAAACACTAGTTTTTAAGGGGGGGTGTTGACAAATTTTTACTTTTTTTTATTTTGTAAATTGCGGCAAAACTGATTCTCAGTGACATAATATTTTGACCTATACCTATGTAAAATGTTCCGGGGAATCGATTGGCGTCAAWTAAACTGCAAAATTCGTAGTAGTTTTGAAGTTATAGTCGGATTTAAATTCTCGATATTTTTGACTTTATCAGAAATTTTCTCGATAACTATTCATCATAGACCACTGAATTTTCTAATGTGATAGAAAATTCAATTTTCTATCCAACGGTACCAAATATAAGAGGTTATCTCTAATAAGTCCGGAGTTATTGCCATTAGACCGCTCCGGGTGCCAAAAATCGACCAAAATCTCGACAAAAATCAAAAAAAAATTTATCTTTAAAATTGATCTATTTTACGTTTTTTACATTTCTAGAGGTCTTAAGGACTCAAATAAATGCATAATTTTCGAGATTTTTGATAATTTACAAGTTATTGTCGGATTAATATTTTTGCTATTTTTGTCTTTACCAGCGATTCTCCTAATAACTATTTATTGCAGAAGTATATTTTTTTTTTATAAAACAGAAAATTAAGAATGCTTTCCAACGGTACCAAACATAAGACAGTTCGTTATCAATAATAATTTCAAAATTATTAGTTGGGGTAATTTTCGTCAGATAAGAAATAATCAATATGAAAAAAAAAATAAAATAATGGATAAAGACTCGAGTATTACGTCTAATGGTCGAGTAAAATATTCGTGACGGCTCTTGATTTGTTGTTAGCAACATCACCTGACAACACACGTGTCATGTGTGCTCTTCCTGAAAAAATCAAAAGTTCAACATTCTGAAAAAGTGAAAAACTGAAAAAATTGGAGCTTTGTTGCGAAATGCATGACGACGAAAAGCACATCCGGCCTCATTACCATACAAGCCGTATCATTAAATTTCCCTTTGACGCGTAATAAATGAATTCCGGTGCGATTTGAAGCGAAGAAAAACGTCCTTGTCAATATTTTGCGCTTCATTTCTAACATATCAATAAGGCGAGGCTAATGCGGCCTTCTATTGTCGAAAAAGAATGGCTAAATAGGGGTGGAAGGTCTTTAAGGGATGGTTTTTGATCGTGCGCTTGCTTGCAATAATAACACTTTTCAGTGTCTTCGGAATGGCCGATGCGCGACCACACTCCTTTTCCATTATTTATTGCAATTGATCGATTCGGTAAACATATAATTTGGGGTTGAGGGGGTTAGTTGACTCGTGCCGACGGACTTGAACGCTAACGTGGACCTAATCACTGGCCTTTTACCCAATCACTGGTATTGTATTTAAGCAATTTTTTCTTTAGTTTTTACCAAAATTGGTTCGGTCTCAATAAATATTTCAAAACTACGATTTATTCAATTATTTGTGGTTCCAAGACCCAAACTTATAATTTTTTTAGTTAGAAATTAATTAATAATAGGCCCACCCTTCCTAAATTCTACAAGCATGACATGCAAACCACCAAATTTACATTTTTATGTCACTGGGTGTGCATATACTGATTTACACAAATTATATTAGTCAAAATTGTTCTTCTTAATTAAAATTTAAATTATTGTAAATAAAAACGAATTTAAAAAACAAAATTTTGTGCAAAAATTTGGATTCATTAGTATGTATTCAAATATTTTATCTCCAGAAACATTGCCTTAGAAGAAAATTAATTCAAATAAAGGTGTGAACGAAATTTGGTTAAAAACTTTGTTTTTTTGTGATTTAACACAAATATTAAAAAAACAACTCAAAGAAACTAAATAGAAAAAAATCAATGAAACGTTATTAAATCATTTTGTTCTTAGATGTTTTAATTAGAATTAAAATCTGGTTGTAAATAAAAGAGAATTTGTGTTCATGGAAAAAATTGACATAAAAATAGCCAATTTCAGATTTACACCCAAAATATTGGTTAAAATTTTGGCTTAAATTGTGATTTTATGTCCAGAAATATTGACATAGAAGAAAAAAAATAAAAAACAAGCTTTTAGGGAGAAAAGTAACTCAAATTAACGGAAAAAGATTTGATTTGGTTAAAAATTTACACTAATTCAGTAATAAATATAATAATAATAAAATAATAAATAAATAAATATTTTAACTTAAGATT